AGAGCCTATCATCCAGCTAGACAGGCTGCTGGACACCACACATGTAGTACAGAGCTTAGTGGTATTGCAAAGGCTTTAGGAACACAATGGACATGGTTTGTTGGGTTTGTTTTTGAGGTAGTGTCTCCCTATACAACCAAGGCTGGCCTCAGAACCTCAGGATTCTTCTGCCTCTGTTCCCTGAGTTGGGATTATAGGAGTGCACCACCATGCCCAGCTCAGCACCAGTGTTGGAGCCAGAATTTAGAGCCCTAACCCAACTGCAGAAGAAAAAGATTTTTTTATATGTGTGAGCGTTTTGGCTGCGTGTGTGGGTGTGCACCACATGGATGCAGTGCCCACAGAAGCTAGAAGAGATCATTAGATCCCCTGGAACTGGGGTCTCACAGCAGACAATTGTGAGCTGAATACTGGATACTCGTGGGTTGGATACTGAACCCAAGTCCTCTGCAAGAGCAGCCAGGGCCCTTAATCACTGAACCGTCTCTCCACCCCAAAGAAAAGATTTAAAAATAAAGTTTTAGGAACTTATGGAACTATTATAGAAGACCTAGTAATATGGCTGTGGGAATCTTGGGAGAGGAGAAAGACTGCAGTAAGAAGGTATACTGGATTAATGGCAGCTAGAAGATTGCTTGATTTGGCAAAAGATCTAGAAAGCTTGGCAAATCTAAACAGTGTGAACCCAAAAAAGTCAGTGCTTGGACATATAAACTGCTAAAATTTAAATACAAAGAAAAACATCTGTAAGCAACTAAAGAAAATGCATTGCTTATGCAGAAATAAGAATGTCAGTGAGTGTTTCTCATCAGAAATCATGGAGACCAGAAAATTAAATCAGTATTTTTAGTCTGGAGAAAGAATCGTCAATCAGTAAGTCAAACAAAAGGCTGTGTAAAAAGTCCCACAGATAGAATGAATCAATGAGAGAACAGAATGTCAGGGTTTGAGTATAGGGTAGAGCAGTGGTTCTCAGCCTTCCTATTGCTGCGACTGTTTACTACAGTTCCTTATGTGTGGTGACCCCCTCCCCCATAAAATCATTTTTGTTGTTACTTCATAACTAATTTTGCTACTGTTATGAATTGTAACATATCTGTTTTCCAGTGGTCTTGGGCAGCCCTTGTAAAAGGATCATTCAACATCCCCCACCTAACCCAGAGGAGTCATGACCCACAGATTGAGAACCACTAGGGTAGAGAAATTAGAACATTCATACAATGAGAAACTATGGGGAAAAAAACAAATCTTTGAATCATGGGTATAGAAGAAGGAGAAGAAATTCTAATAAAAGCATAAAAGACACTTTCAATAATAGAAAATTTCCCAGATCTAGAGAGGGAAAAAAACGCCCATGTGTGTTTTTCATGCCAGGCACTTAGAACATAAGATCAGGAAAGAACCTCCCCTATGCCATGTTACAGTTGAAACACTAAATAGAACAAAGTATATTGGAAGTGGCAAGAGAGAAACACTGAGTCACAGAAAGGCAGACCCATCAGAATAACAGATGTCTCGACAAAAACTTTAAAAAGCCAGGAGGGCTTGGAATAATGTATTTTAGGCTCTGAAAAACAAAACGTGCCAACTCAGACTACTATACCCAGCAAAACTATCATAATTTAAGGAGGAAGAAAAACTTTGCACAGTAAAAACAAGCTGAAGGAACTCATGACTTCTGGCTCGGCTTTACAGATCCTATTTGGAGGAATCCTTCATACCAAAGAGGGAAAAAAAATGCATCCAAGATGCTGTCAGTTGTCTGGTGGGCAACAAGAATATGAGATTTTTAAAAGCATTACACATTAATATTTTTATCTACAGTTCTGAAATAGTAAGAACTCTGGAAACCAAATGTATCTTTAAAATTTTTATTATGCCAGGCAGTGGTGGCGCACGCCTTTAATCCCAGCACTCGGGAGGCAGAGGCAGGCGTATCTCTGTGAGTTCGAGGCCAGCCTGGGCTACCAAGTGAGTTCCAGGAAAGGCGCACAAAGCTACACAGAGAAACCCTGTCTCAAAAAACCAAAAAAAAAAAAAAAAAAAAAAAAAAAAAAAAAAAAAAATTATTATATTTAGTGTGGGGTGTGTGTGTGTACTCAGAGAACATCTTGCAGAGTTAGTTCTTTCCTTCTACTGTGTAGGACCAGGGGATCAAACTCAGGCCACCAGGCTCAGCAGTGATGCCTTATCCTACCAAGCTATCTCAACAGCCTGCAAAGCTTGGTGCCTAACCTGAAGAAGCATGAAAGCTTTTGTGTCTTCACTTATCCTACTTAAGGATCAATATTCATTTTTTGCAGAAATAATAGGATACTAGTTACAGGATCCTTTTGAATGTGTTAAATACACCTCTTGGTGTATCCATTGAGCCTTTCCAAAATAGGATGAAAAAATCTGAATTCCAACATATCTAGCCCAAGATATAAACCTGAGTATATTTTTTGACTCATCAATTTTGAAAATAAGGGATGCATTACCTATTTAAAATTAAAATTTAAAATGAATCTTTTTTTTTTTTTTTTTTTTTTTTGGTTTTTCAAGACAGGGTTTCTCTGTGTAGCTTTGCGCCTTTTCCTGGAACTCACTTGGTAGCCCAGGCTGGCCTCGAACTCACAGAGATCCACCTGGCTCTGCCTCCCGAGTGCTGGGATTAAAGGCGTGCGCCACCACCGCCCGGCTTTAAATGAATCTTTTAAAAAACTAAAGAACTAAGTTTAGCAAACACCTGACAGAGCAGGTTCTTGATAAGTGGCGGTCACTGTTGGTCCAAGCCTCTCCTAGCAGCAGGTCCCTTATTCTCCTCAAGTGTGGTTACCATCATTGTGCCTTATTGGGTGTTACTGTCAAACTTAGTGTCTTAAAAGTTGGGGATACAGAGACATGTGACAGGTCCCTGCCAGCCTGGTATAAAATCTCCTACTCCAAATCCAGAACACACAACCCTGACAGTCCTGAGGTCTCCCCAACTTGCCAGGCCACCTTAACTGTTTAGAAGGGAGTCATCTGCATTTCTGTGCCCAAGAGTTTGGGACCATGCACAGAGTGTTTCTTTTTTCTTTTTCTTTTCTTTCTTTTTCTTTTTTTTTTTTTTTATGTCTGGAGTACATTAGGACTGAGCCTCAGCCATAGAAGCAGTGAACAGCATGATGGTCCCTGTGTTGTGTATTTTAAATGGATTCCCAAGTCATGCAGAATGAGTTCTTGGAACGTGTTTGCCTTGTAGCAAGGCTGTGAAATACCTACAGGACAGCCATGGAAGTCTGAGTACATAAGTTACTGGGGTGGACCTTGCAGCTCCCCTCTTCCACTCTGTTTACTTTCTTCTTCCCACACTGGTCCAGAAGGACAATGGAAATGCTGGTTTCTTAGGAACCTTTACTTCTGCTCTTTACTCATTCTCAGTTTTGCTCCAGAGCTTTCTCAGAGAAGGAAGAACTTGATCCTTTGAAGGGAAAGGAGAAAGTATTAGAGATTGCAGAGGTTTATGGCCAGTGGCCATCCAGCAAGCTGCAGTTCAAAGATTCACAGTAGACAGTGGTGCTATAAGTACGCAAGGGCCGTGATGGGCAGGTCAGGGAGTGCTACACCCCACTCAGGCTCTCATGCCTCTGTCTCACCTCGCCTGAGAAGCTTTTATGTTTTAGCTCTCCGGTTTTGGTTTTGAAGTAATATTGAATGTATCAAAAGTTCTTGAATCTTATGTAAAAATATAAGAACTTTAACAAAGTCTGAACAAAATAGAATGTATCTGGGGTTATTTAATAGTTTGTCTTTATTCAGACTCAGCCCTTCATTATTTTAACTTTTTAAAGATTAACTTATTTTTATGTGTCTGTGCCTGTGTAAATTTATGTGTAGTTCATGCATGCAGGTGGCCGTAGAGCCAGAAGAGGGTGTCACATCCCCTGGAACTGGAGTTACAGGGGGTTGTGATGAGGGTGCTGGGAGCCAAACATAGGTCTTCTGTAAGACCAGTATGTTCTCCTAGCTGCTGAGTGTAGCAGGAGTCTTAGAGAGTCTTATTAATAAAATCAAACCTGAGTCAGGTATTGGGGTGAAATGCTGGATGGTCAGAGAGACAGAACAAGCCACAGCTAACCTCACCTGGCCAACTGCTCAGCTGGTCTTGTTTCCTTAGACTGGAAGCCTCTGAGTCCTCATCCAGAATGGGTCTCAGCTGAATTGCTGCTCAAAAGCCTGACTGCTTAACCAGCCAAATGCTTCTAGTTTCTGGTCCTCACGCCTTATATACCTTTCTGCTTTCTACCACCACTCCCTGGGATTAAAGGCTCGCTTTCTGGGATTAAAGGCTTGCTTTCTGGGATTAAAGGCATGATGAGTTACCATGCCTGGTCTGTATCCTTGAACACATGGATTTCTGCCTCTGGATTGCTAGGATTAAAAGCGTGTGCTACCACTGCCTATCCTTTATGTTTAATATTGTGGCTGCTCTGTCTGTCTCTGACCCCAGGTAAGTTTATCAGCATGCACAGTATTTTGGAGAACACAGTACCACAGCTGAGCCATCCATCTCTGCTGCCTCAGTTTCAACTTTTGATTCTTTTATGTCTGATGAGTATTTGGGCTGCGTGTTTGTGTGCCATGTGTATGCCTTGTGCCTGTGGAGACCAGACAAGGGCATCACATCTCCTGAAACTGGAGTTACAGATGGTTGTGAGCCATCATGTGGTGCTGGGAATTAAACCCAGGTCCTCTGAAAAAGCAGCCAGTGCTCTTAACCACTGAACCATCTTCCCCAGCCCTCCCATCCAGTTCTAACTTTTGTTCAGCTCTTTTCCACGTAATTTACCGTTTAGTAGGATCAATGTTAATCTCTGCTAAGGACCACTTTAAAGTATTCCTTATGTTGTGATTGTATGAAAGTTTCTGCCTTGTCTGGTGTTCCTTGTGCACCCACTGGCATCAGCTTTAGGCCCCTGGGAGCCGAGGTGTTTGGCTGCTCTGGGAATTGTGGTAATTGTCCTTGTTTGTTTCAGGCGTGATCCCCTGAGCCCATTTGCTGTCGGGGGAGAAGACCTAGACCCCTTTGGGTGAGTATTTCTGGGGAGGTGGCAGCAGTTTGACTTGCTCAGTGGCTTGCAGCCCAACTCATCTAATTTTAGAGTTTTCATCAGCCTCCCTTTGGAGTGAAGGAGGTAGTTGCTGAATGGCTGAGGAATCATTGCTACTCTCGGTGCTCTGCCATACCTAGAGCAGCAGAGAGAACTGGGAGGACTGCTTTCCTCCCTCTACATAGGAGGCTCGCAGCCCTCTCCTGGCTAAGAGTCATGAGGGTTTATCAGATGCAGAGAGAAGAGCACACAGTGGGCCGCAGGCTGTCGAGCAGCAGCTCCGGGCTGTTGCTGGTTACCTCACCCCACAGAGGGAGTCTCTAAGCCCCACTGTATCCTCTGATTCTCATCCTGCATCCAGCAGATTCATTCTGCAGCCTCAGCTGTGCTCTGCTCTCTGAGTGAGTCAGAGGAGGTTTAACTCCTGCTGAAGAGTGACCCCACTTTCATCTCATTTTTAGATAGTAGGACTCACTCAACTCTGCAGAGCTGCTCAAACAGTGACCTCAGCATGTGAGGAACATTAGCCTATTCATCCCAGTTGGAGTTCATGAAGTCAGGTCCATAGAACTCAGTGAGGGACAGAGAATGTCAGGAGCAAGGCTTGGGCAACCCACAGGCTATCAGCAACTGTACTGAGGCCCTCAAGGAAATAGCAAAACCACATCATGGGTGGTCATGATGTTATTACTCCTAGATTTAGAGTAATACTCTGCAGAGTCTGACAGTTCTGTATTGATCCTGGCCAATTCTAGCTCCAGTTCTTGACCAGTTGACCCCATCAGTTGTAAGACATGGCAGAGATCTCAACTCTGTGGGCTCGGGAAATCCTGCAGAACTTCCTATACTGCTACAGGCCCTTTCAGCATCCGCAGTATACACTTTGTATGCACTTTGTGTTCTTGTTTACTTCTTGCTTGATCTCGGGTCTGCTTGGACCATCTACAGTAGTCATCCTGGTCAATTTCAGTTCACTCTATGCTTGTCTCCCTTCTTCAAGGGCAGTAAGTCCCTGTCGCAGCTGCTTACCCAGCTTTCTTCCTGTCTCAGGTGTCAGAGAGGTGGCATGATTGTGGATCCCCTGAGATCTGGCTTCCCAAGAGCACTTATTGACCCATCCTCGGGCCTCCCAAACCGGCTTCCCCCTGGTGCTGTGCCCCCAGGAGCTCGCTTTGACCCCTTTGGACCCATTGGGACCAGCCCATCTGGGTAGGTATTCATTCAGGTATGCTGAAAGGTGGGATTTGATGGCAGCTCAGTTTGGCTTAGTTCAGCATTGCAGCCCAGGTATCTGACTCCAGGCACAGTTACCACTGCTGCCTCCCTAGAGCATTCCAGGAGTTCTCTCTTCACCTCCTTCCCTTGGTGTCTTAGAGTTATCATTGCTGTGATGAAATTGAACAAAGCAACTTGGGATGTAAAGGGTTTATTCCACATCAGTGTTCATCAGCGAAGGGAGTCAGGACAGGAACTCAGAGAGAGCAGGAACCTGGAGGCAGGAGCTGATGCAGAGGCCATGGAAAGGTGCTTTTTAGTGACTTGCTCAGCCTGCTTTCTTATAGTAACCAAGACCACTATCCCAGAGATGGTCCTGCTCACAATGAGCTAATCTGTCCCATCAATCACTAATTAAGAAAATGCTGTACAGGCTTGCCTACATTCCGATCTTGTGAAGGCATTGCCTCTCAGGTGACTATAGCTTGTATCAAGTTGACATAAAACTAGCCAGCACACTTGGTGACCTCCCAGGGAGGACTCAGAGGAAGAGATGCTTGGGCCCATAGTCCTTTTACAGATGAGAAGGGCAAGGCCTGGAGAATGGGTATTTGAGCCAAAGTAATATTTAGACCCAGGCCATAGAGTTCGTGATTCAACTCCATGACACTCTGTGGGCCTCCTCTATACAGGGCATGTTTCCTGTGCACTCAGCCCCCTATCCCTCCAACTCACTAGACCCTCTTTCCATTGCAGACCTAATCCAGACCATCTCCCCCCACCGGGCTACGATGACATGTACCTGTGAAGGCCTCAAGAATGTAACATCTCAGCCTCCCTTCCACTCTCCTGGAGCTGCCACCACTAGCCCCATCTGTGTCTGTGTTCTTGTGGACTCAGGGCAGAGGGTTCTGCCCATGTGTTTTCAGGCCCGCTGGGGTTGCATCCCCAGCCCTTGTCAGAGCCAAGGCGCCTGCTGCAGTACTCCATCCAGCTGCATATAGGTCCCAAGGAGAAATCAGTGTGTCTCTATCATCACCAGCTCCTCCCCACTTCCAAGGGAGACTCCGGCAACATAAACCCTACACCCGATGCAGTCCCGGTCACAGCGCTATAAGAACAGAACGCATTTTGGATGTTATTATAAGAACCAAATGTCAATACAGAATTCATGTTGCCGGTCTCCCACTGTCCTTTTTATGTTAATGAACAAACTCATAAGAGTTTGAGCCTTCATAGGACTAAATGACTCCTAGAAGGGCCCATTCTTCTCAAGCACCCCCCTTTCATAAGTTACTCTTGCTCCTGACATCACTAAGATGAGCCCCACTCAGGCTTTGTGCGTAGAAGTGTGACTGGAACCCCATGAACCACAAGGATGGTCTCACCAAGGCAGGCACTCTAGAAAAACTGCCGTCTCCTTCCAAGGGCATCCTCTTAAGTTGCTCCTTGTCTGTGCAGCCCTTGGCTGTCTCCATGGGCTGCCATGGCCAGTAAGTAGAGGAATAAACAGAACAGATCTGTAGGCTAATCTCATTCCTCCCCATAGTGGCCCTAAAGAAGTCCTTTCTCTTAGAGGCTAATGGCTGCCTGTGAAAACAGGCTCCTTCACTGACGCTTTGTAATGCATCTGTGTGCGAATGGGAATAACCCTAAGGACTGGAGAAGTGGAAAGAAGGAAAGTCTACAGCTGTGCAGCTTGTCCTCTTGTGGCCATCGAGAGCATAGGGACATGAGTCCAGCCAGGTGTGGTATTAAACTTCAGGAGGGAGGGGGAGCCCCAGTGTCTGGAAGCCTGTGTCCACCCCCCGGTCTGTAGACTGTCTGGATCCCTGGAAGCCCCAGCTGACAGGCTTTGGCAGTGCTCAGCCCTGTGCTGTAGTGATGGAATAGAGTGCAATAAAGGACCAGGCCAGGAGACACCAAATCTAGGCAGTAAATACATTATTCCACAACCAGTGTTTCAACCATGTGGCTGCTTTCACATCTCAGCTCCTTGGCATTCCTTCCCCCAGATTAGAACTTACCATTTTTACCTATAAGCAGCAACAAGTGACTGTAGCTTTTCTGGAGTACATTCTAAGAGGGTGTCCTGTGTGCCCAGCCCAAGAATGGATAGGTAAACTGAACTGACGGGACCAGGGCCAGTCTCAGGTGGAGGCTGGGCCTTGGGGCCAAGCTAGTATGAGCAGGCTCCCTAGCTGTTGTAGAGGGTCACACAGGTCAGGCACTGACCACCTTGAAGCTCTAGAACATCCTGTGGTCTGTGGGGGCCACAGATGAGGCAAAGTTAAGACAAGCATTCATTGTACATCACCTTTATCCTTGGGGCTGGCAGATGAAATGTTTGTTTTGGAATTGGATCATACCTGCAAAAGAGCTTAGGGCACATTGCTCATTAAAGCATCCCTTTTTATACAAGGAAGCATTTAAAGGAACAGCTGGTGGCAGTTCTTGAGATAGGTTGGGGAAGGTGGATAACTCAGGGCCCTGATTTGAGGAAAGGTAAAAATGGAAACATTCTCCAATTGGACTTTTTAATAACAAAAGTAAAAAAGATAGTCATGTACATTAGTTCTATTTTCTGCAAACAAAAGTTATAGTGGTTTTGTAGAAAGGGCCGTTTTTGTTGTTTTTACATGTGATCCTCCTTACATAATGCCCTTGAGAAACACAGTATCGTGGATGTGGGTAGCCTTGAATGGGGCCTCCAGGAACTTGTGGTCAAGCTGTTTGGGTCTCTGTCGTTTCTCTCCTTCCAGCTGTGAGTAGCCAACAGAAACAGAATATTTCAGGCATATGTCCTATAGAACTCCCAAATCAGAGCCTTCACAATAAACAAAGACCACTTTGTAATCTTTTTTTATTAACAATTTTATTAAGAGGATTTACATACCCAGGAATTTCACTCTTTTAAAGTACACAACTCAGTGGGTTGTAGGGTATTCACAGTGCTGTGTGTACATCCACCCCCAGATCTAATTCCTCAAAACAGACAAAACTATCCCCATTGGCAATCACTCTCATTTCCCTCCCCCAGCCTAGGCATCCCCGTCAGTTGTCCACAGATCTGCCTTTCTGGACAGTTCTCATAAATGAAATCACTCAGTGTATGGCCTTTGTGTCAGGCATCTTCCACACCTTGTTTTCACTGTCCCTGTGAATGCAGCAACAGCACTTTATCCTGTGGCTGGATAAGCACGGTATGGCGGCTTCACATTTTGCTCATTTATCAGCTGATGGATACTTGGATTGTTTCTCCCTTTTGCTTGTTATGTTGAATGCTGTTAACATTCATGTTCAAGTTTTTTTTGTGTGGGCGGATGTTTTCAAGTCATTGAATATGTCTAGGATGGATTTGCAGGGTCCCATGATAGCACTTTTAACGTTCTGAGGAACTGCCAGTGTTTTCCAAAACAGCCACACTCTTCATACTACCAGTGGTGCTCCATTTTTTTCCACATCCTCACTAAACGCTTGAGGCCAGACTAGAGGTGTCAAGTCATACCTTGTTTGTATTGTTGTCCTCTATTTTATATTTTTTTTAATGGAAAATTTTGAGCAAGACCATTCAGGGCAGAGACCAGAGCAGCTTGCCTTTGAGGAGGAGGACTTGTGGCTTTGATAATGGCCACTGTGGAGTGGCCATGACCAGTCGTGGAGTTGGGTTTGACTTTGGGGATGTTCCGGACTAGATGTGATACCTGGTAGCCTTTTCTCTGGGGGAAATTCCTGAAACCTTTGGACATCTAATAGGATTCAGAGCATCATTTTCACTGGGTTTGAAATTTCATAGCTCATCCAGTGGCTTACAAATAGAATCAAGGTCTACTTCTAAATCATTGTCTTCGGGTGCTAAATAGACCACTCATACTATTTCTAGGATGCACCGGCCCACATCCCACCTTCTCTTCTTGGCTTGCTGTCTTTTCTATTCTTAGAGCTGGCTGTTTTGCATTGCATTTATCTCCTCAGTCATGAGCTTCAGCCAACCTGCAGTCTAAGGCATGAGTCTCCTAAGACCCTGACCCCAGGAATGTATTAAGGATTAAATGGGGCTACATTCCTGGGCTAGAGTTAGTACCTGTTGACACATGCCTGGAGAACAGGTAACAAGTCTGTACAGTCTTCCTGTAGAAACCAGCTTCCTCATGACTTACCCTGCCATTGCTGATACTTTGTCATTGATCCATGGCTGTCTTCACAGGACGGAAACAAATCCATGGATCACTTCATATTCTCTTATCACCTGATCTTGTACACTTGGGTGCAATTCCAGTAAAGACAGGTCCTATCACCAGTGACAGTCCCCCAGGCATATTCCCAGCTTTACCTGTCAGTAGTAATTGTTGCTCACTGACCACTGTCCACCTCTAGAACAGATGCTCATGGTCAGCATCCTAGCCACCAGGCCTAGGCCTTGTTTTGCCCTTGGGATGCGACACTAAATCACTTCATCTGGGCTTGACCCAGAGTCTTCTCCTGAGAACAGGTCAAAAGGCAAGCATGGCCGAGAACAGGGGTATGAGCAGTGAGGACCAGCAAGGCCCTAGCCACTGGACGGATCCTAGAACACATCAGAAGTCTGAGCACCTCACTAAGGCAGTGCTTGTGGAAGCGGAAGGCCCATCTCCTACTCACAGTAAAGGACCATGGGTAACCACTGAACGGTGTCAGTGGTATGAGCTACATAAAGCAAGTGCTGGGAAAGTCACAGTGTAATGGTTCAAAGGGACAACCGAATAGGAGGGGCCAGTCTGGAAGTTCAGTGCAGTAAATACTCACTTAACCTAGGGGCCAGACAGCTGGTCACCATGGTCTGAGAAATAGGAACTATAAAACAGCAGGTGCCCAGATCTGCATAAGAAAGTGAATGCCTTTCGCTCTGTCACCTCATGCCCACTCAGCTCAATTCCAAGTTCAAGGCTCAGTGGACTGACTACACCTGGTTGTGAGAACCTGTATCACCTCTGACTCTAGCAGCAAGAGGTCTCGGAAATGCCCTTATGCCCTTTGCCCATCTCTGTCATTGGAAGGTGCATTGGAAAAGGTCTGCTGAACCTCCTGTGATTGTGTCCCATCTCCCATGATGTAGATGGGTACTGCACTCATGCTTGCCACCCCCTACATCTCCTGAAATGCTTGTATGTATACAGTACATCGTGGGCCCCAATCCACAGCTCTAAGGAAAGGCCTTCAAGTCCACTTGTAATTCACAGGTGATGCACGTTGAAGAACTGCAAAGGGCAGTCTTTCTACACAGCACCACCAACAGCAATGTTACCTGGAGTCTTGTTAGAAATGAATAATCTCAGGGCCCACCTCAGACTTACTATATGTGAACTTGAATTTTAATTATTTTTATGTGATGGGTGTTTTGCCTGAATGTATGCATGTGCACTAGGTGCATGTCTGGTGCACACACAGGCCAAAAAGGGCATCAGAGCCCCTGGAATTGGAGTTTCTGATAGTTGTGAGCTGTCATGCAGGTGCTGGGAATTGAACCAGGTCCTCTGGAAGAACAGCCACTGCTCTTAACCATTGAGCCATCTCTTCAGCCCCAGTGAACTTGCCTTTTGACAAGTTCCCCACATCCCATGTGCACACTGAATTTGCTCATGTACAGCTAGCCCTTTACCTTCACCTGGATATCAGGAGCAAAGACCAAAGTCAGCCAGTCTCGGTGGATGGCATACATGATTAATGCATTTATATTTGCATTTTCCCAGGTTGTACCCCTAATAGCCACTACATTCCCTAACTCTATGGCTCATTCAAGCATATTTCATAAATGTCTTTAAATATATGGATGCCTTTGTGAGATAACAATCCTCAGATCATTAATCACTCCGCCTCATTTCTAAACCAAAGAGGATTAGAAAGGTCTGGTAGTTTGACAGAAACCAAGTGTGGAGATGATTCCAGCACACTACTGGTATAGCCTTCCTCGTCTTCGAAATGAGTGTTACCCCCGCCTGCAAGACTTCTGGAGAGTTACCACTAAATGTGTCTTATTAAAGGTAGTGGGGGCCCAGTGGGTGTCAGCAGCTATCATTACCAAAGCCATATGGGTAAGTGAGAATGGAGCTCACAAAGGAGAGGAACTCCGGGCCAAACCAGTGCAGGAGACAAGGGTTTATCTGGTACCCACAGTATGCACAGCTTCTTATCCCAGACTCTGCTTGCTACAAGCTGAGGTGAAGATTGAGGGCGTTAGTCAAGATGCTGGACACACCCAGGGATGGGCACAGCTCTGAAGCTGGGCCTGTTGGCTGGGTGTTCATGATCCTGAGCACTTAACAGCTACTGCACCAGCAGCACTCAGGTTAGACCCTTCTGATACCACGTGGTACCACCTTCACTCTGCAAGAGACAGGCCCAGTAAGCCCCTCTGAGGGTGAGTTAAGGGCTCCTCTGGACCCCGAGGCTGGCTTGCGCTCTGTGCTGGGCCTTGCCACATGGCCCCAGCTGCTACTCACATTGGCCCTCGGGGGTTGGTAGGATGGAAGCTACTCTGTACTAAACAAATGAAAAAGCAAATCCACAGTAGATGTATGAGAAAGATTTCCCCCAGGGCCTCACAGACCACAGAAATTCTGTCTTCATATCCCAGGCTTCCCTGCTCAGTGTGGACCAAAACAGTCATGGAGTCCTTAGTAACAGGAACACATCAGCTCTCCTTCCTCCTCACTCAGCTAGCCTGTTAGGAAGCACCATGTCAATTCAGCACCCTGGTCAGCACCCAGCCTCGTGGCGCTGAGATCTCGGTCTACATTAAGTTTGACTGCTCTCCAAGCCAGTATAGCCCATTTCTGGAGGTAGGCAGACATCTCCGAGAGGAGAGGGCCTGCCCTCCTTCCTGATCCCTGACACCCCCATCCCTTCAAACCAGCACAGGTGCCTCTGTCAGTACTCCTTGGGTTTTTAACTCTTCAACGCTAAAACTAAAACGGGACATGGCAGCTACTCAAACCTCTGCGAAAGGATGAATGAGGATGCTTGGGTGGGCACCATCAAGTGGTCCCTGGCCTGCAGTTCAGAAGTGCCCACCGTTTCAAAGGCACCTATCTCTATGAATGATTTAATAAGCCTCAGGGAAAGGAGTTGTGCATCCCTGGCCCCAGAAGACGACATCTTATTGACATTCCCTTGACCTCAGTCACAATTCTCACCTTGCCACATCCTCCTACCCACAAAGTCCAGCTGTCCAGCAGCAATTGAAAAATTTGAGATTCTGATGGCCACAAAGACACAGATGGCCAAGGCCAGAGCAGACACTCCCTTTAATCTTGCCACCACTGCCATGGCCAGCTACTCTGCTCATTGATATTACCTGCAAAACTGCAGACATTTGCATTTGGGCTCCCGCTTTAATGTCTGGTGGCAAGAATAGGGGCTACTGGGAGGGTGTCAGCAATGGTGGCACAGCTCACCCAGGAGTAGCTTCAATGAGGGAAGGTGTGGGTACACAAAGGAGCCTAGCAGGAAAGAAGAGGAAAGAAGAGGAGATGGGTTTCGCTGAATGTCACTGGCCCTGGAGTCAGTACTGACCCAGATGCCACACCTCCCAGGAAGAGGTTGGCATGGCAGCTGCCTTCTTTCCCTGTCCTTGTTCCCCTGGGCCAGATCTGATTAGTGAGTCTCTTTTCACTTGCTACTTTTCCTTAAGCCCAGGAGACCAGCAGCCGCCACCTGACCTTGGAGGCTCAGAAGTCAAACAGGAAAGGGCTGCCAAGTTGAGGCATGGAGTCAAGACCATGTCCCCCTGGCTGTAGTAAGAGCCCTAAAAGAGGCTCACGGGGTGCTACAGTATTGCCCCCACAGGGCATCTGACACAAAAGAGTCTTCCTTCCACACAAACTGGCAAGTGGAGGGAGGACAGGCCCTGTCACCACAGCGCCACACTCATGCCTTACAGCCTTCCCACAGTATCCTGCCCGTCCGCCTTCTCCAGATGATGAAGCCCAAGCACCCACCGGGGGTCCCACTGCACATTCCTCAGTCACCTCCGTACCGCCTGTCCACCTCATCTCAGCAGCTGCTGAGGCCTCTGAACCTCTGATCACGTCTTTCTGCCCAGAACCCTTCCGTCAATTCTCCACATCAATACTTTCTAGTTAAGATTCTCATTAGGCACCCCCTATCCAAAAGAACCTTCCTAACCCCCAACTCACACAGGTCCTCCTGTCTCTGTCTCTGTCTCCTCCCCCGCCCCTGGAGCACAGCACAGTCACACCATCCTGCACAAGACAGCCTAAGTGCAGCCCAGCCAGGACTGTGTTTATTCATCGAACCATAGAAGGATACCATGGATGAACTAGAGAACATGAATAGCTGTTTACTGAGCAATTAGGAAACGCAGGGCACTGTGCTAAGTGCTTTAAAGACATATTTACCCCTCACTGCGGTCTTACAGGGAAGTCGTTGCATCTAGCACAGCTGCTTTTCAGAAGAAACAGGCCAGGAGGCAGTGAGCCATTGCCAAGCACCTGAGCAGCCATCCCTTACACTGTGTGATCAATCAGTCTCCATGGACCCTCGGGGTTCTGCCTCTTTTCCCTCTGAGATTCATGTACAGGCAATGCTCCAGCACTGTGTGCCACCCTCCGCACCATGCAGGTGTCCTATTGCTGTCCATCTGCTTGGGGCAAACCAGTTGAGGAAGAGGAATGTATGTAGGTAAGAGGATGCACAGGGGCTCAAGGACAAGAAGCTAGAGCAGGACAAAACAACAGGCTCTGTCCCTAAAGACTTCGGTTCTCCTCAAATGAACAATTTGGAAGCTCGGAGGAGCCTCAGGTAAATCCAGCTAACCCACTGTGCTCCATCTCTGAAGATACCTAACTCCTGGCAAGTAAATGCTAACATACCTCCACTGACGGGCACTCTCTATGACTCCAGTTCATCCAAGACCCCAGCAACCTTCTCTCCCAGATGAATCTAACCCTGGGGAATTTAGGGAGGAAACCAACAAACTGAATGGGAGACATCTTCCCACCGATGTCCATACCACTAACATCCCACTCTCCCCTAACAGAACTTCGCCTCTGGCTTCTTGAAGCCTCCCACATTCTTGTCCTGCCTTCTGCTTGATGTCACCCACAGCCAAGTGGTAACCAGCATGACATGGCTCTCCCAGTTCCCAGCTCAGGCCCCTCCCCAAGTGCCAGCGTTCTGGAATCCCCCAGAACTCTCCTCCTTTCCCAAGAAAGGAAACAAGAGGGACTATGGAGGGGACACTGGGCTGTTGCTGGGGAGGATGGCAAGATTAAAACCACACGTCTGTGGTAGACAGAGGAGAAAACCATCACCAGCTTCCAGAGGATGCCCTGGCTTAGAGCTCTGCAGCCAGAAGCTGAGTCCTTGGCTCCTGAGCAAGGTCAGATGAGAAAGCTGCAGAAGTAGAGACAGCGTGCATCGTGTGTGTGTGTGTGTGTGTGTGTGTGTGTGTGTGTGTGTGTGTGTGCTCGTGCACAGAACTGTGTATGTAGGGAGGAGGACCTTTGGAAGAGAATCCCTAGGAAGGTGAACTGCTCCCAAGAAAAGGAGCAGTGGTGGTGGAATCAGCCAGCAACCCCTGATGGCTGGGAGACCCAGAGGGTACCTTCGAGGAAGTGGAGGTGATGACGGGGCACGGTCCCAAATGCCTGGGCCTAGACACCCCAGGGCCTCAGATGCGCAAAGAGGAGTCAGGGGTCACAGATTCCTCTCCCCCTACAAGTGTCTCATGGATCCAATTATCACTGGGCTATGCCATGCCGGGACTGGGAAGAGGACCTTTCTTCATCAGGGAAATCCCTGAAACAAAGTTAAACGAAGGCCCAGAGAGGAAGTCCCAGGTGCAGAGCCCACTGACAAGCCACCACACTTCTAGTCATGGGATCTTCTATGTCACTGATTCTGACCACAGCAAGGGCTCTGGGGAGCTGGGCAGGGGCTGTGGGACTCCAGGACCTTGGAGAGGGCACCACTTGCCCTAACAGGAATAGAATTTTTTGTTTCACCCTTTCATTCAAACATGAAACTTACGTACGCCAACCATGTTTCTCACCCTAGGAGTGCGGTATGGCCTAGTTGGCCCACTTACACAGGGAGGTGGCGTAGCTCGTCCAAGGTCACAGAGCCAGTAAGTGGCAGAACTCATTCAAACCCTGATCTTACCAGTTCTGAAATCGCTGTCTGTTAAATACAGTGAGGAGAGCAAGATCTGGGGGCCTAGTGGTCTGTGGGATGGCAGAGACAGTTCCTAGAAGTCAGGGAGGCATGTTCCAGCAACATCAGGGACAACTCTACATCTAATCCCAAAGAAACCCACAGCGCTCCTCACGCCTCCCCGACTCCCTCCTAAACCTGGGTCCTCCGGCTGGGAGATCTCAGCTGCATCTTGGGGAAATGCTTTCGGCATCTCTCAAATCGTCTTAATTCACTGACAAGGTAATGACTGCCTTGATCCATTTACATGTGGTTTCTAAAGGAGTTTCCCCATCGGAATGTAAAGCAGGTTCCTCTGGCTTGGGGGAAAAAAAACCAACAACCTGCCATTCCTTTATTTTCTAGCAGATTTAGCCCCTAAAAACATTTCATTGTGTTTAAGCTGATCTGAATGGACAGCTCCAGGCAGATACTCTCAGTAAGCACTGTAGCCTAACATGCCCCCCCCTTCTACTGCCACAGGAATCCATACTGCTTGGATCAATACATTTATTATCATCATGGATTTGGGAAGCTGGGGCCCATCACTGGCAATGTCCCATCTTACTATAATTCATCTAGCATGCTTCCTGTCATTTTGTCCAGCATTTCCCTGCTTCAGCAGGGGAAAACTGACATGTCTACAGAAGTCCTGGGATTGGGACATTTTGCTCTCTTGAGCTTTGTCCTTTCTAAGCCACACCCTCTAGGCACCAGAGCAGAACCTCTGAAGCCAAGCTGCACAATTTTGTCATCCCTCCTCCACTCAGCCCTCTGCTCCAGGCAAAAACTGCCAACATGAGCAGACATTTGATCTGTCTCAGAAGCTGTGATATTATACTGCCCAGATGTTCAAGCTGCCTGGGCTGAAGGTTCATGTTCCACATAGTCAGGACCTCTCCAGCCCACAGACCTTTGCCACCCCATGTTCTGACCACCCCCCACCAACAGCTAGGCTCTCAGCTTATGCAGGCAGCTAGGATGGAGGACAAGGGACTTGCTTGGAGCAAGGGCTCATGGAAATGACCCTTTTAGAGTCTTCCCATAGCCTAGACAGTATGTGCTCTGGAGGTCTGCTGGGGCTTTCTGGACTGGACAATGCTCCCCAAATGTCTGCCACCATCCCTTTGCCCCCTAACGCCTACTTCCATTGTCAGAAGATTAAACAGTTTGGAGGGGCCCTGGAAATATTTCACTGAAGGAAAAATGCAAACAGCAGTCCATGTGGTTGGAGTATCCAGGTCACTTAAGTGTGCCTTATTTCTCCCCAGATGATTGGCAACTGAACTTTACTAAAAAGGAAAAGCAGACATTACAAATTCAGCATTAAAGAAAATTGTTTCTGCTACCAGGATGAGATCAGGCCTAAGTAACAGCCCACTGAGGTGATAAGCCCCCAACATGCCCACAGAAATACAACCAAGTCCTCACACCTAGGTGCCCAGGAGAAACTGTGCTTTGTAAATGTGCCACTGCAGAAAATTAGCCACCGTAGGAAATCAAATTCCAAGACCAATTCACACTGTGTCAAATTTTGGATTGAACTAAACCCACTCACCCGGGCTCTGTAGCAAGGCCATAGAACCACTGGCTCCTGGCAGTGGTAGTCACCAATGCGGGGCCAGAAGGTGGCAGTGACAATGGTCAGTCCCTGCCAAACACCCCCATCCCTCCTTGAAGGTTGGCCAGAGGCAGACTGGCTTCCTATTCCCAGGGAAGATGTGGCCCATGGTAGGGCACCCAGTCCTGCTCCTCACGTTAGAGACTGGGCAACCGAGGTCTGGAGAGGGGAGGGTTATGGTTCAGTCAGTAGGGTGCTGCAGGGGGCTCACCTCAGAACCGACTTCTCCCATCATCATGAAACCACACTCTACCCCAGATGGTCTCCCAACCCTCTTACTTGGCTAATGAAGATAGTAGAGGTCTCAGAATTCCCCAAGGCATGAAGAATGAAGGCAACCTTTCACATGACTCCCAACCCTGAGAAATGCCAAGCAACCTCATCTTCTAAGAGCAGTGGTTTCCAAAAATGTATTTTTAGCAGCAGAAGCCATCCTCCAAACAAAGCCTTATGCAAAAACTTCAAGCTGCAAAACACATTAGGAGTGCTTGCCTTAGTAGGGCCTAAGCCAGAATCCTGGCTGCCCCCACACCAGCACCAAAACTCCCTCCACAGGACCCTCTGTGGATCTCACTTTGAAGCCCCAGGTTTTGGGGAACCTCCAAGCTCTGCAGCTAAAGCAGCAAGATAGGGTGGACTCTTACTTAAGAGCCCTGTGTGGTATAGCTGGTCTCTGAGACTTGGACAACCTCGTTCTCCACTAGGACCTGGCCCCCATCCCCAGCGAGCTGCCGCATACGCAGGTTGATGGAGCCGTAGGTCTTCCTTGTTCCCCTGCCAGGGACGAAGGTCTGCCTGCGGTACAGCTCGCCCTTGCACAGAGAGACCATAAGCAGCACGGACAGGAGCATGCCACCCACTGTGAGCAGCCCCAGGCCCGCGATGATGCACTTGTCCAGATGCGAGCCCAAGCGGGCATAGTACATCTCTAGGCGTTCCATCTCCCTTGCTGTCACTGTGTCAGGGTTGACTCGGGCCTCTCGAGGGATGGCATATGCTGTTACCACCAGGAGGATTCCGCTCACCAAGAAAACCAGAGCAGAAACAAAGCCATAGTCGACTGGGCGGCTCACAGGTTCCAGGCCCGGCCCCTCCTCTGAATGCAGAGAAAGATCATCCCGCTGGGACCGGGTCAGTGAGGGGACACCTCCAGGAGGACTGGGAGAGCTACCCAGTCTGGCATCCCCAGGGTTCTGGAAACGAGTCTCATGCTCCTCAGAGAAGAAGCAGGCATTCTCCACACCCATCCTGGTTGGCGCCACTGGGCCCAGTGGGGCTGGTCTCCTTGGAACCTGGGGACCATTGCTCAATGTCTTCAGTTCCAGACCAGGGGGAGATGCCATTGGGAAGAACGACCCCAGCTCATCCCTTGGCCCCTTGGCAGCTAGAAGAGAAAACAGAATGTCAGTAGAATTCTCCTGCTGGAGCTCAGCATCACACTTGCCCCTGGCACAGCTGGAGGGAGCTATGGACTGTAGAGCAATATGGCCCATGCTAGGGCACCACTCCACAGTGGCTGGTGCAACTGTCCTCTCTGGGTCTCAGTTTTCTCCCTGAAAAGAATTCCCCAGTGACAACATTAATACCTACTCCCTACTGCACAGTGCTAATGGAGAGGCCAAGGTAACCCGTGGGTAAGGTGCGCAGCAGAGTACCCAGTAAGTATTAGTGATGGGATGTTATCATGATGGAGAGATTTAGAGTGGACATGAGGTCCATATCCCAGCCTCCTTGCTTGTGCTTAAGCATGTGACTGAGCTCCTCTGCAGGAACAGTGTTCTCATCTATAAAGTGGGAAGCCTCCCTCATCATCAGGTTGTAGCCCGTTCAGCTAATAGACAGTGTTGTATGAGCATGTGTGAGGTGCAGTGATGACGTGGGGTGTGGCAGACATAGTCCAAGTGTTACAGGAACTAGTAGCTGAAAGCTCGTGAAAGCTTGGGATGGGCGGGGGGGGGGGGGGGGGGGGGGGGTGTGACGGCATCTAAACACTGCCTAAAAGAAAGAGAGGGAAATTCCCTAGCAGGCAGAGAATGGGGGTATTCTAGAAAGAAAAGGGGGACCCCAGAGATCAGCTGGGCTAGTTCACAGGCTACTGTGAAAGCCAGGCCAAGAAGGAGTGGGCACTCAAGTCGTTGCAGCAGGAAAGGCTGGGATTTGTGTGGATTTTAGAAGGCAGAAGGTCGGATGCATGGAGGACAGGGTCCAGGGAGGAAGCCCAGGGCACGCGGCCTGGCAGAAAGAAAGGTTGAGAACGGAAAAGCCATAACTGAGCTCAAAGCCAAAAGCCTCAGTGTAAGCAGGGATTGGGGGTGGGGCAAAGAGGTGTCACTACCAAATCCCTGGACATATACCACACAGACTCACTGCACACACGCCCTTGTGCCTAAAGGCCACCAAACTATAGCCACGGGCCAGACTGAGTACACTGGAGTTCTGCTTATTTCCTTTCCAATTCTATTCATTGAGTTTTGGTGCGTTAGTTGCCAAGATATAAAAAAAACAAAGGTTTCACTTTTAAGCTTTGAGTTCCTGTAGGGAGCAAGTGAAGTGGTCAGAGGATGTGTATTGTTGATATGGGCATGGCCATCTCAAGGACCACAATGCCTCAGTCCCACAGGAGTGGCAAAGCTTTCCCCACAGGAGGCTCAGAGGGGTGGCAAAGCCTTCCTCAGGTCCAAATGCAAATGTAGACAGTGTGTGCAGAAAATGTCCATTTTAGATTCCCCCTCCCCCACATTTATGACCTGATGACTTCCCCTACAGAGACTGCTCTTACCAAGTTAGCTAAACCTGCCTCCTTGTTCAGCAGGATATCATAGTCCTGCCCTCTTGTTTATCTGTAATATCCCCGCCTCTTTATTTAGCCATATACGACAACCCTGCCTCTCTGTTCAACTGCATATAATAATCATGCTGACCTAGGACTGCTGTAGCTTCTCCACTGGAGAGTCCAGACCACCTGATCCAAGCTTTTCTCCATATCCATGTGTCTGTCTTTTCTTCATTCCCTTGCTGCCCCAGTCAGGCCAATTCCGAGGGCCATGCAGATGCAGCAGCTTCCCATTTCCAACTTCTCTTGCAAATCTGACCAGCATGTGCCACCACCCCCTCACAACATCCACCTGGCATTGGTAACTGGGCCATTCCCTTATGTGAGTCTCAACTCTTCTCCACAGGCACACCTCCCCGAAACGTCACTTCTGCTCCCACAGCAGACGTACAATGTCCCATACATACTCTGTCCTGTGGGTACATACATCCGCAGCCCTGGCATATAAATGCCCAGGCAGCAGAGACCCTAGGCATGGAGTGGGCTCTCGCGCTCTGATGTGTTTACACACCTGAAAGCTGGTTCTCTGTATTCTCAAGTCATTCTCCAGTGCTCTGTGGGTGCCCGTGTTTCTGTGCAAACATGAGCAAATCAATGAAGTGATGGTAAGCGAGAGGAATAAGTGAATGAAACGCCAAGGGGTTGATCGTTAGAAGTCTTTCGGACCTTCCCCTGTGGACTTGTTCTCTTAGCAAACATAGGGCTTTTCGTCTCAGTTCAAAGGCTGTGTCCTCCCTAGTGTATCCATTTAATACATGCTTGCTGAGCTCCCATTGTCAGTTAGACTCTCACCTCAGCATCTCACTCAGGAATAGCTCAGCTCTATCACCATCTTAGAAAACATGATCAAGACCCCATGGTATGCACGCAGACTAGAGACTAACAGTGGAATATGGGCACCCCAAGAATCTCTATTCCCTACACGCATGCAAACCCACACACTCCACCTTCCTTCCCTGGCTCTTTGAGCCCTTACTTGAGACATCAAGCAGGGGCATCCTGAGGGCAGAGATCCCTCTCATTCTCCCTGGGTTTCTGGTCTCCTGCTCCGGCTGCTCTCAGTTCCCAGAGGACAGATCGTAAGGGGGGGGGTGCTAGTTGGCTTTTTGCTCTTGGCACTAAAAGCTACTCAAAGCCTGAAAGTAGGTGCCACTTGTGGCCCCCACCCATCAAGCCCTCGGTGGGCCTGAAGAACTCGGGAGTGGCCCATAACCCCTTACCTAGATTGGTGCATTAATGCCTCCATATCCCAGAAGATATCTGGGGCACCCAAATTCTTAGAGCAAGACTCTCTTTTACCCAAAACTTTTTCCTTATGATGATGCCTGGGTGAAGGAGCAGACACAAGGAGGTCCTCTCTCTAATAGATTTAGAATGTATTTCTCTCATAAGATGCTTAGTAAGTTATTCAAGGGCATGCCCATCAATTAATTACTCAGACATAAGCAGAGCCACACAGATGTTGGTGCCCACGGATCACACCCCAAACCCGAAACAGCACCAGCTATTGTAATTGCAGTCCTATAGTTCCTGAAAGGCAAGCGCCCTCCCCCACCCTCGTTCCACACTCACAGCTCCCGGGACTGTACCCACAGCAATACCCACAGACCTGGGAAATAAGTGTGACTCACAGATCCACGGGTCACTCTGGTGGTACCCACAAGAGGGTAAAATTGGGGGAGATAGTGCGGGATGAGAAAGGGAGAGAGACAGGGAGAAAGGAGACAGCGACTACCTCTAGCACTGCTGAGATCTAAGCCGGAACCACCCAGACCTGCCCGAGTCCAGCACCCCCACCCATGGCGCACGCTGACACCCACCCGGGAGCCCGACACACTGCGAGGCTGGGTGAAGCTTCGCAAACCCAATCGATAGACACACGCACTCGTAGTACACAAAGCCTCGGGCGCGCAGATGCACACACGCAGGTCCACGCTGTTATACCCAAAGTTCCGCGCGGAAAGCCCCAGAGCCCCGGCCTCCCGCCTCCCCCGCGCCTGCCGGCCCGCAGTTCACACCCCCTGCTCCTGCCCTTGACCGACAACGCCACGGGCCAGAGCAGGCCGGACCCGGCCGGTCAGCGCTCGCAGCGGGGCGGCCCGGGGAGGCTGGGCTCAGCAGGGCCAGCGTGCGCTAGGGTGCCCGGGTCGCGTGTCCTTCTGCCGGCCGCGAGGTCAGGAGAGCTGTCCTTTGCTGCCACTCCCCGCCTCGGGCCCTGCGCCGGCGGCTCGCGGTTGGCGTACGGAGCCGTGCCGGGCCTCCCCAGTCTCCGCACGCGGGAGCACAGGGCTCCTGGCGGCCGAGGGTGTGCGCGGATCCCGGCCCGGCCGCCGCCTCGCCCTCCCTGGCTCCCGCCCCCTTTCCTGCCCGCCCGCAGCGGCTGCCCGGGCGCACGTACCTGCTCGCGCCGTGCCGGGCTGCACCGCGTCGGCCGCTGGGGGGCTCCGAGGAGGAAGGGACAGGGCAGGGCGGGAGCCGGGATCCTGGAGCGCCGCCGATCGAGCTCCGCCCGCGGCGGGCGAGGGCGCCCGGAGAGTTAGCGTGGGGAGAGAGAGGGAGGCGGCTGCGGGTGCCCGGCCCCCGCCGTCCCTAGGGACACCTCTGTCTCGCCCGCGCGCGCCGGCCAGGGAAACCCGAGGCTAGGAGCCCGCGGCGCTGGGCGCAGGGGCGGGGCGGGGCGATGGAGGGGCGGGGGAGGAGACCCCTCCCCCGCCTCTGGGGAGACCCCGCTGCACCAGGGATGCCTTTCCCACCCCAGGTAGGACCCAGGATCCTCTTCAAGGTCTGCAGGTCCAGAGTCTCATCACTACTTGAGACTCGATGGTTCACGGGCGCCACGTGAAGGCTGAAACGAAGCCTCTGCCCACCTCTGTTTCTGATGGGTGTCCTCCTGGGGTATTGTTCATGGCCACGCACACCCTTGCCCTCCAAGGCCACCTGCAAGGCTCCTTCTGAAGGCAGCCTGTCTGACTTCCTCACACATACACCCTCACCCTGAGGGGTTCCTCCATCTAGACACTCCTGTGACCTGGTTCGCCGCCCTGTGCACAGGTTTCTGTTTTAAGGGGAACTTTTTCCTCTTGGAAGCCCAGGGCCAAGCCCAGAGAGAGGACTGGTAAGGAAGGTAAGATACGGTTTCTGGACTTGATGACTCAGGACTTACGGGAACCATGAGGTCCTAACAATTAGAATGGCCATAATTCTGTCCCTGTCTCATACAGTCCTGACTCACAGCACATCCCCAGGGGTTACTCTGTTCCCTCATTTCGTTCAAGTCTTTGCTCACATGTCACCTTCTCAGAGACACCTCCCCAGGCCATTCTCTAAAAAAAGTAGATGTGGCACACTCCTTTAATTCCAGTACCGAGGAGGCAGAGGCAGGTGGATCTCTGAGTTCAGGCCCAGCCTGGTCTGCAGAGTGTGTTCCAGGACAGCCAGGGCTACACAGAGAAATCCTGTCTCTAAAATCAAACCAACCAACAGACAGACACACAGACACACAAAAAATAGTATAGTAGAGGCTTTGTCTCTTTCCCTGGTGTATCTCCAGAGACTTCAAAAGGAGCCAACACTTCGGAGGTTCTTGATAAATACTCTTTGAATAAAGAATTGAGAAGTGCATGACTACTTCTGGAGCTCCTGTTGCATACTAGCAACTAGGCAGAACCCATTTCTATCTCCAAGAAACTCCTGAGATATTCCAGGAGAAAGGGATACCCACAGGTAGCGCAGCAGCTGAAGTAAGGACTGCGAAACAGGTACGGTGTGCTGTTTGTCTTAGGCAGAGTGCTGGCCCAGTCTTGAGGATGGGATGGTTTTCCAGCAGAAGTAAGGACTGAGCCAAGATGGGCAGGTTGTATAGACGGAAACTGGATAAAGAGCAAGGAAGAGGGATTCAGCAGAGGACTGGCATGGGAAGATGCCTGGGGGTGGGTGAAAGGGAGGGCAGTGAGCATGGATGAAGAAGCGTGGTCACAGTGGGAGACCCAGGTAGGAACCTGGTCAGGGATGGGGCTGTGCTGGACAGGAGCCAAGTCTCTGCAAAGCCTTGAAGGCCAAGAAGTTTGCTCTTTGTTCTCAGAACAGTAGGGAGACATGTAGAAGAGCCTGGGCAGAAAGTTAACCACCACCACCCCCTTTCCCCTTTTACATGTGAATCTGACTTTTGGTTACCTGTCAAGCTCAGACTTTTTTCATATTTTTTGTTTGTTTTTGGAAGAAGAGAAATATATGACAAGTTTCTGAGCAATGCTACTTAGGTAAATAGGACCCCTGAGAAGGAAGCTAGACTGGGTGAGAATTGGAGATGTCAATATGAACTTATGTTCAGCTTAATTTAGGATGTGAGTGGTTACATATATAAATATTACAGAGTGGTCCTAGGCACTTCTGGAGCCGTGGGTTGCCATGCAGACACGGCAAAGTCCAAGAACCACATCGCACACGACCAATTCCGAAAATGGCACAGACATGGCATCAAGTAACCTTGGTCACAAAGATACGAATCTTTTAAGGGGGTCGACCCCAAGTCCCTGAGGAACACGTGCTTTGCCGAGAAGCACAAGAAAGGCCTGAAGAAGATGCAGGCAAAGGATGCAAAGGAAGTGAATGTTCGTACAAAGGCTATCAAGGCCCTCATGAAGCCCAAGGCAGTTAAGCCCAAGATGCCAAAGGACCCCAGCCGCAAGCTCAGTTGCCTTGTTTTCAACACTCACCCCAAGCTTGGGAAGCAGATTCCAGGCTACACAGCCAAGGGTTGCAGGCTATATCAGCTACAGCCCAAGCTCAAATCAAGTCCGTAGCTCCAGCTCAGACCCAGGCTTCAGCTCCAGTTCAGCCTTTCAAAGGTGCAAAGGCCTATAGAAAAGGTTTCTCTCTGCCAATGTGAAGACAGATGGACTGGTGTGTGACACACCTACACACTATTTGCAGGTGGTCAGTGTCCAATGCTATTTTTACAAATAAACTTGGTGAAATCTGTTTTAAAATATATAAAGAAATACACATATGCATGGGTTCACACACATAGGTATTTCTTTGCTAGAGGCAATTGTACTCCATAGCAAAGAGCACACCCAGTGTAGTGTGTGTGTGTGTGTGTGTGTGTGTGCCTACAGGAATCGTTCTCTTCTTCCACATGTGGTTCCCTGGAATCAAATTCAGGTTATCATGTTTGGTAACAAGCACCTTTACTGGCTGAGCCTGAGATCTTGGTTTCTAGTACCATTCTTCAATAAAAGAAAACAAGGGTCCTTGGAGCAATGAAGCAGAAAATATACAAGATGAATCAAAAAATAAAGATATACCACACATAGGGTTGGAGAGATGGCTCAGCAGTTAAAAGTACTGGTTGCTCTTCCAGAGGACACTGTTTCAATTCCCAGTACCCACATGGTAATATTCCATTATCTATCCTATCTTGGTGAGTATAAAGTTTTGTACCTAATTTACTTTCTATCTAACCTTGTAATATCAACCCAAAACTATGTTTTTAGACCTCAAACATTTTCTTAGATAAACAATTTAAGCTTTTGTGTCTTTCAACCTTATACACTTTACATCTCTTTTGGGAGTTTCTTTTCTGAATTTGGTAACAAGGAAAACTGTACCTATAACTATCTAATCTTCAACTCCATCAGAAACCCAAGAATATTACCCGAGTAAACAGAAAGTACAGAGCAAACAACTTCCAAAACTATAGAAATGACAGAAACAGCTGGCTGCCTGGGCAACACTGGGGCATCCATCTTCCACCTAGAATATCTGACAGACTTTTCTATAAATCAGGAATTTTGAAGGACTACCCCACTTTGTCTTGGCAAAGTCTGGCAGGCATTTTCTTCTGTGTCTTGCTTGTCCAATTTGTACAGCATACTGTCAGCAGTCGAGGCAAGGGCAGTTTCTTGCCCAGTGGCTAACTTTTGCCACAAAGGAAACAAACTCCACATGGAGGTTCTTCGGTGCTCATCATATTCTCTGAAATAGATTGGTGCTGTCAGATGTAAGCCCCTCCCCTGAGGAATTCTAACTGCCAGGTTCCACCCACAGAATACTCTAACTGCTGGACCCTGCCCCCACCCTACAAGAGTAAAAGGCCCAATCTCTGGACATGAAATCCCACCAATCTCCACCCTGAAAAGTTCCACCCCCTTCCCAAGAAGCTCTATATAAGCTCTGTATCCTGTCCAGTTTGCTGCTGCTTCCCAATCGAACAGAGGCAGCCACTTCCTGTTTTTTTCCCTCCCAATAAATCTCTTGTGTGAAGTTTGTTGTGCAGTGTGACTTTACAGTATTCCTTGGCTCCTAGCTACCAGGACAACTTTTAGTCTGAACTGCAATGCTTACATTTGATGCCTTGACTCAGGTAGGCTCTCCTAGTGCCTATGTTTCCCCTCATGGTCTAAGCTGCACTGGGACTCTGTCCCTCATCTCCAGTCCACCCACAACAGACTCAGCTTCTGGCTCACTGATCACTCAGCACCCCATCTACCAGCACCAATTAGGTAAGTTTCCCTTTTGATTGGTGTAAATGTTCCCCTGAGTTTGAGGAAGTGACTGTTGTGTGTCCGGCACCCCTCTAGTACTCTTGGAGGTGGAGGTATCCCCAGCCATGATCTTTAAGGCTATGCCTGTCCCTCTTCACCTGACCCCATCCCCCTACCCTTGGAGCTGCAACCCTGAAGTTTCTTAGGCCAAACCAGACTATTGTGCCCTTTCGTGCCCTCTTCTCCCACCATTCCCCGGAGCTGCCCGTAATCTCACAGCTCCTTTAGGCCCTCATGGCTTTTGTGACCCCATTCCCCACACTTTCCTGTGGACGAGACCCTCCTAGAGCTCGGCTTTCATCCTCGCCTCTATGAAAGCCCTGGTACCAGGTGCCAAGTCTCTCTGCCGGCTTAGCCAGGCTAAGTCCTGACCCCCGTTGAGTGTGGTGATGACCCACTGAATGAATGGCTTGGTCTTCCTTCAGTTCTTTTTGAGTCCTGGGGAGGCCTATGGCTACAGGCTACAGTGATGTTTTCCTTTTCTGTCATCCATGGGACTGTGTCTTTCATACCCTCTCATTCTTCCTTGGGATGCATGCCTCTTAGAAAACCTCCAGCCTCTCCATCTGACACCAACCTGAAGGGCCCTAAATGTATTCTCTTTTACAATCAAATTTGGATTCAAATTTGGATTACCCCTTAGATAATCAATCCAAAGGGCCACCTATTGGCACCTTAGACCCTAGTAGTATTTGGGGGCTTTACAAATACTGTGAGCGATCTGGGAAATGGAAAGAGATTTTCCCATTCCCTATTTTGTTGCTAGAGTTTTCCTGCCTGGCCCACAGTCAGGACAAATCTCTCTCACCCGCCAGTCCCAAGACGCTCAAACCCGACCAAGTAAACACAGAGACTTATATTGGTTACAAACTGTATGGCCGTGGCAGGCTTCTTGCTAACTGTCTTACAGCTTAAATTAATCCATTTCTATTAATCTATACCTTGCCACGTGGCTTGTGGCTTACCGGTACTTTACATCTTCCTTATCCTGATGGCGGCTGGTAGTGTCTTCCCCACCCAGCTTCCTGTTCTCTCAATTCTCCTCTCTGTTAGTCCCGCCTATACTTCCTGCCT